AGTAAGTAAGTAAGTAAGTAAGTAAGTAAGTAAGTAAGTAAGTAAGTAAGTAAGTAAGTAAGTAAGTAAGTAAATAAGTAAGGAAGGAAGGAAGGAAGGTGTCTGACTAGGCACCTGAGTGGATTTTCACAAGCGGCAACAGCAGCGATTCGAGCCGATTCGAGGACCGGCTAGATAGTCGCGTGGGCGACCGGAAGCCGTACCTTCCTACCGTCTTTGGTTGTCACTTGGTGGTTCTGTAAAAGAAGAGGGGATACTTGGTAAGACCAAGAGTGGCCAAGAAGCTGACTCTCCGTGCTCTCCTTCACCGGTCTCCGACGCGAACTTTCCTGGCCAATCGTCTTCTTGCTCCTCTCTCTTTCTCTTTCTTTCAAGAGACAGAAATCATGACGTAAACGCGTAGGTAGTAGTTCGATCGATGAAGATCGAAAAACCATCATTTTGGTGTATCCAAAAGATGCCAATCTATCCATCTTTAGAAATGATTAATTTCAATGGGGTTGTCTTCGTCACAGATAATCATCTGGATTTTGATTGCACAAAATTGTAGAAGAAATTTTTATAATTTATTGAATTATTTCATTGATCAATTGATCAAAATAAATTTTGATTTACTTGATCGATTAAATTGATTGGATAACGATCAGATATTATAATAAATTTGAGTTTAAGGTAATGATTAAATAATGTCTACTTTTAAATAATAGAAATAAGATGACCTAAATTTCGTATCCTACTTTAAAGACGGATATTTCTTTTGAAAAGGATCGAAGATACGATCCACTTCAAAAGGGTTGCTCTTATCACTTAAAATCATCTCACTTTCTCTAACGCTATAAAAGAATTTCAAAAGTATACAAAAGTTTATCGAATATTATGAAAATATATAAAAATAATGATAGATAAATGAACTTTACTTCTTGATTATAGTTTCTACTTCAATTAGCAGATAATTGTATTAATTATTTTTATATATTTAATAAGTTAATATTTAATTTGAATAATACTAATAATAAGAGTTGTAACTGAAAAAAAAAAGAGAAATTATAAAAATATTTACTTTTAAATAATAATAATTATTGAATCGTTTAGATAATGGTACAAGCGTATTGAACAATTTTTCAAATATTCTTCATGAAAAAAGAAATAATTTTACTTATCGAAAAACAACAACCTACATAAATTCTTTTGATAAATGAAATTCAAAAGCAAAGAAAAACATAACAAATGAATCTGATAAAAGAAATTCAAAAGATACTATAACATTAGCAAGATTAAAGTTTCAAAAGCAGAAACTTACAAAAGAAATAAGAAAATTATACTACATAAATGTCTGCTTTCGTATCACGTAAACCACTCAAATTTCCATTACGACATAAGAAAATTTGAAAGTTAAAGAAAATAAGTCAAAAATATTGATAAAAATATCAAAATAAAAAAAAAAAAAATCGGAACAAACAAGATTAATAAATGAAATTCAAAAGATAGTAACTGGGAAGATTAAAATTAAGAAGGGCAGGAAGAAAGCTGAAAAGGTTAATAAAATAAAATGAGGAAAATGTCTGCTTTTGGATGATAGAAAGGTGATGACCTCGATCCTACGTCCGACTCATACATAACGCCATTCCCCTCCGTCTTCCAGCTCGTTCCGCCTGTTTCTGCCCGAGCGTTCTGACTGAACGCCCGACTGGCCTGCCCACGCCTCCTGCCCTTCTGTCAATTATATTTACTATTTCATTCATACGGCCGCCGCCGCCACCACCACCACCATCACCACCACCAGGCACCAGCGCTGTTACTGTTGCTGTTGCTGTTGCCGCCGCCGTGCTTGGTCCACGAGCCGTGCCCATTCACGAGAGTGCAAGCGCGTGCGACCGCACACATACACAAACTTATACTTCTCCCACTTATTTACTTTCTTACGAGTCTTACATCTTACGTATACACCATTACACCATTACTTTTTCATTCTATTTCAATGAATTAAACGTTTCAACTGTAATCCGATCGAATTGTTGGATTTCAATTTTACTTTAGAGGATTGTTTTTTTTTTTTTAATTATTACAAAATGGTGTATTACTTTGTAACAATTCTAATATATAATTAGAAATATATAGGGTGTCCTGTAATTGGTGATAGAAACAAAAAGGGGATGATTCTGCGTATAAATTTTTATTGAAAAAAAAAAAAACAAAGCCTCCTATGTTATACATTATCGACTTAATTTTTCATGTAGAATCATCCCTTGCTCATTTATACCACTAATTACAGGACACCCTGTATAATATAAATGGATGCATCTTCTCAACTATAAAACAATTATTTTTTGGAAGATAAATAAATAAAAATAAATGAGTTAAGTTCTCTTTCGATAAATATTTTCTCTCAATAATAAATCATTGTCTTATAAATAAGTCTCTCTATAAACAAAAATAAAAAACAATGATGAATTAATACCCTAAATCATGTAACGACGATTACTATTATAGATAGCGTTAGGGAAAAGTTTTTCACACGTATGAAAGGTTGCGTTTCCAGTGAGTAACTGAACCCTCCGGCGTTCTTCGCCCCCACCTTTTTCCAAGAATGTTCATGCGAACGATATACATAAGTGTTGAACCGTGAGAATCTTTTCGTCTTCTCAGGCTAAAAGATTTGGTCGTTCATTGAGCGCGCTAACACGTTTACGGTATATTGAAGAGAAAATCAACTCACTCATTTGTTCTCTAATTTTCGTATCTATATTATTTTCCTTTTGTTTTTTTTACCTTTTCTCAAATGTTACCTGAAACTTCACTTAAAGTTAACCATAACGAACGATGATAATTATTACTATTATTATTATTTAATCCACCATGTAATATCCCTAGTAGCATAAAATATTGAAAAATATTGTGTGAATACATGTGTGTATTCAATATTTTTCAATATTTTGTGCTACTGGGGATTATACTTCAATAATATAATAAAATCATTCATTTATTTATAAATTTACGTTATCGTTTAATTTCATTAATAACAAATAATTGAAAAATTTCGATTAATCAATTATTATAATATATATTAATATTAACTGCTTGAAATTATTCTTATTAACAATATAATATACGTGGATGTGTTGAAAAGGTATGAACTGTTTATGTGTTATGAAAAGTTAGGAACAATTTTGTTTATTGGTCAAATCCACTTTCTGTTCAGTATTTTTTTTTATTAAGATTCAAAACTTGTCAACCCCACCCTCGTGTAACATAATACATGACATCATATACAATAAGGAAAAAACTTATGAATAATTTATAATGTAATAATGAAATTTAATTAATACAATGAATGATCCTAAGAAATTATTTTTTCTTATTCATAATATATGGCATAATATATGGTACGACTAATTTTATCTATATATGTTATTCTTTAAATTAATTTTTATGCATTTGGACAGAAATGGTAATAATAAATAATAATAATAATAATAATAAAATTGATAAATCTATACTGAAATATAAACAAATTTATACATCAAATTAAAAAAAGTATATAAATATAATAATTACAAGTTTAATTTATTCATATATGTATAAT